GAAATGTGAACAAGCCTCCCTACATTCAGATTTGACCCTTCACTACAAACGAGAATGAAGCAAGGAAACAAGTTGCATTTATCAAATACACTTTGAACGAACTCAAAGATCTGATAAACTTTGGTACTCTGTATTTTTGTTGATAACAACGCGATGGTGTTCCCCATGTCTTATGATTTCGTTCAATTGAAACCCTAATCCGCCATGCGATGCATCGCATTTGACTCTATTTTTTTGGTCACATTGAAATGGTGATCCATCACCGTCTTAGAAACTTCCGTTTCGGTTTTTTTCGCAAATGGTTCTTGATGGTTCTTTATCCATAAAAAAGTTTTTTTTTGCATTATGTTTTTAAAGAGTGACAAGATTTCGGCTGATATTGTCCATAAATTTTGGTTCTTTCAAGTTTTAAATTCCATCTGCTTTGTTTGCAAGAATTTTTTTCCGAGTTGGATGATTTTGAATCTAAGTCATTCAATCTCCTCCGTCAAAAAATGACATTTTCCCCATTTGTCTTCCATCATTTTTGACACTTTTAAAACAGCTGCACTGTGTTTACAGGCTGTTCCGACAACAGCTATTACCATTTTATCCAAAAAACCATGAGAGTTTCAAGTTTTTTGTACCAACATATCCTTGATCTGGTAAAGTTGAATAGGTATGTCTCCCAATTCGTAAAATGCGGTTTTAAAAAAGCACAAGCCCGTGACATCTCCACGCGCCATATCAAATTTGCATTGGTTACTTGCCTTACAGGTTAGTGGGATCTGGCGTAAGGCGTATTTAAAGACTCTTGACGGGAACCATACCAAGCTTGTTGTATTTCTGCTCATTGTAAGAGCTACATTGTCTATTTGCTCGAATAGATTCGTCATTTGGTAGCGGTTTTAGTCGATTTAAAAAAAATCAAATTAAGAGCAATGATCAATGAGTCATCACGTTTAGAAGTTACTACAATGGGAGTAATGAAAGAATCTTTCGAGCAATTGGATAGTTTTCAAATATGGCCAGCTTTTAAAAATTTCTTTTTCTGAAGGGTATGGAAATCCTGACTTGGTCTTAAAGGCTCGATAAAATACGTTTTTACTTTCAGACTTTTGGATTAACCTTTTTTGTAGCAATACCCAGAAACTGTAGAAGAATAAGTTTTCTAAATTCAGTTTGTCGTGGGTTCTCGGTGGTTGAATTGGTTTACTCGTCGGATTCAAATAGGTTTTGTAACTGTTCTGCAGTAGTGTTGGCTTAGATTTGGCAAATTGACTGTTTTGTTTTGTTTGAAGGAGCGCGAATTTGTGACACTATGACACGCAAGTTTGGAGGAAAGAAAATTCTCTCTGCCCCGATGGTTTGGAAGGGCCACTTTTCGTTTGCGTTCCATCCATTTGAATAAAACTTCACGACAACTCTTCCTATAATGTTTATAGTGCTTCCACACCTTTGATATACTGGTTTCGTAACTTGGCCAACTGGCTCTATCTTCAAGAAACGATCAATAATTCTCAGTTCATGTAAGAGATCCTTTTCATGCGCGATACCGGATAGCTGATTTAATCTCCATTTCGGTTTCAAACGTATCGTTGTCGCCTTGGTATGCCTTCTGCTATTTTTCGATATCTGGTCCTTTGTGAGAAAAACTGTTCTAATACTACGCTATCCCGTATGCTATGGACTTCAATTTCCTCGATAATTGCTAAAATATTGAAGTCATTCATCTTAAGGACAAATTTGGGGTGTGTATTATTTTCCTGGTGCTGCTTGGCGTTATCAGTATATGAATTTGCTTGTTCGACTGTATTGGTTTGCACCTGTGGTTTTTCTTTGCTCCTACAGTGTTTTGCAAGATGTCCCTTCCGACCACAGGGTTTTTCAGATCAGTACTCGTAAACTTAAGTAGGTCTTACTGACTATTTGCTTTTTAGGATGTACCAAAGAGGGCACAAAATCAAATTAGTTGCTAGAAGTTTGACTTCTGTACATTTTGAATTTGTTGAAGGTTGTTCTGGAATTAAGACTAATGTGGTAACTAATGAAATCTCAATTGTAATTATGCTGGAAGTAAGCTCTGTAGAAACAAAAAAAATAAAGGTTTGAGTCCTTTGCTCAATTTGGTCCTAGAGTGTTCGGTCTAATAACTTTTTGCGTGATGAAACTGTGGCTAACATTTGTTTCTTTAAAAGAATGGTCTGTGTTTCGAGACTCGCCATCAAGTGTGCTTGTCAGGCAATATATCTTGACAAAAAAATAACTTTAGGTGCACTTTAAGGAGAGTCAGTTAGCAATTTTCCATGAACAATGGCATGAGAAACTCAAATCTTGTTTTTTTTCTTGTGAATAAATGGCATTCAGTTTAATTCAGATCAAATTTAGTCATAAAATTCCAGTATTCATCATAACAGCTTATCGTCAAAGATGAAAACCTCCAGAAAAGTAGCCAGTTGACCAATTGATGTGCAACTTGGACAGAGTGTTCCGTCCGAATACATATTAAAAGCAATAAAAAATAAAAAAAACTGACCAACATTTTTAGGTTTTTTTTTCTGATATACCATTTCGAAAACTCAAAATGAATCACTGATTGGGGGTGCAGCTACTATAAATTTGAACTATAAACCAAATGAGATAATAGTTTAACAAAATTTAATTCAGAAAACAAGATTCGAAATCCTTTGATACTCTGTCGACTCGATGGTTGAAAATAGATAAAAAAACCGGAATCAGACCATGTTTTGCATTTTTTTCTAAATTTGTTTTGGAAACCAAGTTGTCATTGCAAGTACTTCTCTGCCATTTGATTCCTCGCTAAACCATGTATAAAGTATACAAATAGTCAAAACTAAAACCAACATGCTCCATAAACCATTTAACACTGTACAATAGTGGTCGCTACAACAATAATGTTTTTTCATGGTGTTTTTTCATAGGCTTCTCAGAATAGACGCCAGTATATAATCATTATCTTTCTTTGACAAAAAAAAACAATTAACGGTTTTCTTGACGTTGTATTTCACGTTAACACTTTTTCAATTGTTTTTCACCCTTCTCAAAAATATAATCGGAGTATAACGGAATAAATATGATCGGAGTGGTTTTTTTATTCAATCTTTTTTCGCCGATCAAAATAATGGTTTTCAACAGAATTTTTTATATCCTATTGAAGATATTGACTTCCTGAGTTCAAATTTTAAAAAATATTTTAGATCCAATTTTTTTTTGTAAAAATCTGGGGCTCGAAAATCGCCAAATTGGCCATGTTCTGTACTGAATTATGCGTGCTTTGAAGAGTTAATTCATAATGCTGAGACTGTAATGCTAATTATTTATGCGTGGCGATTTAACCCGCACAACAAAATTGTTCCAAATTGAATTGAGGCTAGCTAGGTGGTCGTATTAATTTCGTACGTCTGAAAATTTTACTCACTGATATTGTCCAAAATGTATAGGTTATCAATATTTTTTTCTGAAAAACTATTCGATATAAATCAAGGGACAGTCGGAACACTCAGGCGCTTTGCCCTGATATACGAGCAGTCTTGTTTGTCCTTAAGTCACTAATAGTCTTAATACTGTAGTAAATAGTTCAGCTAAAGTTCAGGGGCGGATTTTCAATAAAATTTCAAAAAACTTGTCGACCTTTATTTAGAGATCTCCCGAAGCAGTAAAAAGACCCTGTTTCATCCAAATATTCTGCGCCGCAGACAAAAATATGAAAAAAAAAACGCCAAAAAGGCGTTTTAGGCTCTTTTTGGAAATTTTGACCAAATAATCAGGTTTTTTTTGGCGCGCTTCCCCCTCAAAATTAGTATATATTGGCGCCATAGGCGCCTTAATAAAAGTTTCAGTGTCAGTCACCAAAAATGGATATCTCAAAATAGTACAAAGGGGGACTCTTTGGGTCGGCAGGGGGTCGAATCCCTGAGGTGGGAGGGGGGGGGGGCGTCCGCATCTCACTCGACCCCCCCCCCCCTAAATCCGCCCATTGTCATCAAAGTTTCCAGCATATTGTATGGGGCTCTGATGTTACGATGTCACGATGGCTTTACCGCTAGCTGATCTTAAAACATGTCTTTTTATGATTCGACTTTTTGGAAAAACCTGGTCTCCGAATTAGGTTTGCTGTGAGAGACCAAGTGAATAATGGCTTAGGTATTTTTTGTTTATTTTTGAGACCATGTGTCATGCATGCATTCTAAATAATTTTTTAAAAAAATGATATGTGACACTTGAAATTTTATATTGCTTATATCTCTGAGCAAGTACAGGATATTTCACGCGGCTATTTTTGAATTTATTTATTTTTGTTTACTCCCCCACATTCAATTCTTTAAATGGCTGTTTACATTTTGATCAGATAGATACACTTTTATTGAATCAACCAGAACAATGGATTTTATTTTTCATCCCAATCTAATCAACCGGTTATCCAAAGTATACATAAAGTAGCACCTGCTGAAAAAAAATCGTAACCACGACAAACAAAGCAGAGTTAGTACGCTGATTTTAAATTCTTTTAATTTCATTCTTCCCTCCGTTCTCAATAAAGGTGAGTCGGTTCCGCTAATCATTTTGTCTCTCTTTTTTTTGTCTTTTCGCATACTCAAATATCACATTTCCTTGTTTTTTAAAACACTATTTTGAATGCTATTCTATATTATATCATATCAACTGAATGTTATGAAAAATTATAATAAAACCACCTATAAGTTTTTAACAGTTTAATGCCAATTATTACAAGACTTATTTGTCTAACTTGTGTTAAAAGCCACAGTATATCAAACCATTTTTCTTCATCTTTTTGCTCAAACCTAACATGCGTGTACTCATCTAATTTCAGAGCGCAAGTTTGATTTTATAACTTATTTATGAAAGTGTATCGAAAAGCTACAAGTTTTGGCATGAACCCTTGAACGCGCTCAGAAAGCCGCGATTTGATTAAAGCAACTTTAATTAATTTTTTTTTTCAGTATATTTGTTATTGCTTGTGTTTGGATTATGCATGACAACGAAATTTTGCATGACAACCACCTCCAACAAAATCTTGATTTGTAGCCATTTTCATTTGTAATCACTGTTGAACCATTTCAGCTTTCTGCTTTCTCAGCGCACAGTTGCTCAAAACTTCTCTCAGTTTCACAATAGAAACCTCCGAAAAAACTTCAATCTCAAAATGCGTGAATGTATCTCAGTTCATGTCGGACAGGCCGGAGTCCAGATAGGAAATGCCTGCTGGGAGCTGTACTGTCTGGAGCATGGGATCCAGCCCGATGGTCAGATGCCTAGCGATAAGACCATCGGAGGAGGCGATGATTCATTCAACACCTTTTTCAGCGAAACAGGTGCCGGCAAGCATGTTCCCAGGGCTGTTTTTGTCGACTTGGAGCCCACCGTGGTTGACGAAGTCCGAACTGGAACTTACCGACAACTGTTTCACCCGGAACAGTTGATGACCGGAAAGGAAGACGCCGCAAACAACTACGCCAGAGGACACTACACCGTCGGAAAGGAGATGATCGATATCGTCCTGGACCGAATCCGAAAGTTGGCTGACCAGTGCACTGGCCTACAGGGATTCCTGATCTTCCACTCCTTTGGTGGGGGTACCGGATCAGGATTCACCTCCTTGTTAATGGAGCGTCTCTCCGTTGACTACGGAAAGAAGTCCAAGCTGGAGTTCGCCGTCTACCCTGCTCCACAGATCTCAACCGCCGTCGTGGAGCCATACAACTCTATCTTGACTACCCACACCACTCTGGAGCACTCCGATTGTGCATTCATGGTCGACAACGAAGCCATTTACGACATCTGTCGACGAAACTTGGACATCGAGCGGCCTACCTATACCAACTTGAACCGACTCATTGGCCAGATCGTGTCATCGATCACCGCATCTCTCCGATTCGACGGTGCATTGAACGTCGACTTGACTGAGTTCCAGACTAACTTGGTACCCTACCCTCGAATCCACTTCCCTCTGGCTACCTACGCTCCTGTGATCTCAGCCGAGAAGGCATACCACGAGCAGTTGACCGTTGCCGAGATAACCAACGCGTGCTTCGAGCCTGCCAACCAGATGGTGAAATGCGATCCTCGACACGGCAAGTACATGGCTTGCTGTCTGCTGTACCGAGGAGATGTTGTCCCTAAGGATGTCAATGCAGCCATTGCGACTATCAAGACTAAGAGGACTATCCAATTCGTCGACTGGTGTCCCACTGGCTTCAAGGTCGGCATCAACTACCAGCCCCCGACTGTCGTTCCCGGAGGTGATTTGGCCAAGGTGCAGAGAGCCGTCTGCATGTTGAGCAACACCACAGCTATCGCCGAGGCCTGGGCTCGATTGGACCATAAGTTTGATCTCATGTATGCCAAGAGAGCTTTCGTCCACTGGTACGTAGGAGAGGGCATGGAAGAGGGAGAGTTTTCCGAGGCCAGAGAGGATCTGGCAGCCCTGGAGAAGGACTACGAAGAGGTAGGAGTTGACTCGGTCGAGGGTGAGGGCGAAGAAGAGGAGGGCGAGGAGTACTAGACTGTCACTCACTTCAAAAGCACTTTGATCACACAATCCAAAGCGGAAACTGATGATCACACATCTCATGCAACCAAGTATCATATAATTTATTTAATAAAACTTTTTGTCTTTTGACGTGTAGACGATGTTTTAGACATTGATGCAATTCCACTGACAAAGTTCACGATTAAAAATTGCAGTACAAGCTTTTCATTCATTTTTGAGCAGTAGCCTATGCAACAGAAAAGAAGATAAGAATAGTTAGCCATCATAACCTGGTGCGCATAATTCATTCTCGCTAAAACAGTGACCGAGAATTCCAAAATTTCGAAGACCTCTTTAAAGTCGGTAAAAATGCTCTCCGAGTCCTCAAAAAGTATCTGCTAGAATTTTTTTGGAGATCTTGAGGACAACACAAACCAATCGTCTTACGACAAATCTCAAGAAATTTTGGTCAGAAAAGGAAACCATCCATGGGAACCATCCATAGGTACCATCCATAGGAACCATCCATAGGTACCATTCATAGGGACATATTTAGGAAGATTCTGGTTTATATTCATCTTGCTGTTGACTTGATTCAAGCATTGGCAGAGATCGTACTTGGGTAGAGATTGTCCCGCGAAAGCAACCCCGATTGTCACCAAAATTAGTTTCAAAGAGTTTGAACATTGTCCAAAACTAAGTCTAAACTTAGTCTGACACAATTGAACAAAGTCTTAATATAGTGCCAAACAAAATCAGATCCTACGCGCAGCGAGCGTTCTTGGATCATAATCGGTTATATTGTCCTTGTATAGTAAATATCCATAAAATTCTCAAAAAAATTATTGACTTTCAAAAAACAGATAAAAATTCTTATTCAGTTCCGTTGCTCTACTGTGCCCTACAAATTTTTGAAATTTTGACCTTTCTTTGATTAATTTTGGAGCGCTTAAACTGCAAACACTTTGTTCAAAATTATCTTAAACATTTCAAAAATAGAAAAACAAATACAATTATAGAAAAAAAATGTCTACTGCTAGTTCTAACATTTCCCCTATTAAAACTGCGTATGCTTGTCCCTAATTTGCTTTTCTAAGACATGACGAGTGGCAGAACCTGAAGGGGAATTATCAGACAACTTATGCATTGATTGATATCAACAGGTTAAATGAAACCAACAAGTTAAATCAAAGGATGCATTTTTTTCTAAGTATCAGCAGCACTTGGAACGTCATGAAGCTGGATGGGATTTGGAGCGTGGCAGTCGTCATCTCAACAGGGTTTGTTTGCTGAGAAGCTAAGGGATTTTGACCCAATCCCCTTTACTAGTGACCATTGTAATCTGGTTTTAGGTCCTAGCATCAATGAGAAAACAACAACCGACAAAATTATTCCTCAGGACTGCGCAATTCATGCATACCTGGGTTCTACAACAATAAAGGGTGAAAAGGTGAAAATTTTGGATAAATACTCGAAAAAGACAAAAAAAAACGATAACCTTGCAAGATGCTAAAATTAATGTGGTCAAACATAACAAATCTGCAATGGAGATTTTTGATGAATTTACTTCTCTTGTGGATAAGTGTTTGAATCTGTTTGAACCTGGTGGTCTCGTAGTTTGCGAAATAAAGACTTTCAAAAAACAACCGAAACTAATGCAAAAAAAATTGTTGACATCAAAAACTTGTTGGATGAGAAAAAAAAATTATGATAAAGTACAGGCTCTCAAACTAAATTGTCTGATCAAATCATACCCTATTTTTATCTGTAAATTGCATTTTACAATGAAACTTATTGTGTTAGGTTGCAGCTGAAATAAAAAAAATAAGTAGTCCATACCTGAGGAAAGCGCTAGTGGAGCATTTGTTCAATACTTTGCATGGTATCAGCCAGTCTGATGTTAGTGGCGACACTGCGAGCCAATGTGAGGTGCGTTTTAGACAGCACAGATATCAACAGCTCTTTTTTCAACCCTTTTTTAGATGTCCAGATTATTTTTCAAGTGAAATTTTTTAAAATTGCTGTAAGCGGTCGAAAGTTCAAGTGTCATATCTTTGTAAGAAAAATGCGTCTAAATGACTTCTTATTAAATTATCTAACTGGGTACTCATTGGTTTTATCTACTCAATGCCACTGTTGCCCAATCATAATGCTTATAAGAACACTTTTTCTCAAAACCAGAAGCTTCAATTATAATAACCAAAATAATCCTATTTTGAGTTATTTTCACTAGAGATATTCAACTAAACCCAGGTCTAATGCTGCCATACGACAATGTTTTCAAAAACTATCTAAGCTTTCAATCAAAGTTGAAGTTTTTTGTGTGATTACCCCAGTCTCAATAAAAAACTATCTTCAGACAAATAGACTAGTAAACGATATAGGCCACAACTGTGTTTATGGATTTAATGAAACATGGCTATTATTTAAAACAAATGTGACACATACAATCACAAAAAGACCTTTTTCAGATTTTCCATTGTGATAGGGGCTCGGATAAGCAAAACAAAAAATGGAAGACTGCTTTGATTAGAGTTTAAAATTATGTAAGCACAGTTGAGGCCTGATTTTAACACTTTGATTCTCGGTTCAAAAGTTTGTGGATTGATTTTCAAGTTAATTGAAGTCAATCAGTTTTAGTTATTTTATCTTTCTGCCCTATGACAAATCTGTTTACTGACTTTCTTGAACAACTTGAAAAAAGCATCGATAAAGCAGGCATAGGTAAAAATAGGTTAAACCAGATGCTTGATTCTAGTTTGAATAATGTAAATAGGGAAGATTTACCCCTAAAAGACCTGCTGTTCATTCACCCATCGATTATTTTTATTATGACACCAGTTTAAAAACAAATGATACCTCCGTAATGAACTGTCCTATAAAAAGCGAACACCTTGCTTAACCAACAATTATGCACTTCAGCCTGAACAAAAAAGATCATGTGAAATTTATTAAACCTCTGATTAAAAAATCTATTCAGCTGATGAAAACAGAAAGTCAGTGAAAACATCAGTTTGGTTAAATTTTTTAATGAAAACTGATGCTGACAGTATGTTGACGGCCTTTGCAGATTTTTCGCATAGAAATAATCATAATCATGACGATCAAAAAAGTTTTACTAAGAAAAGAAAAACCGGTAATTTAATTTGTAAATTTTTAGGTGTCGAAACTTGCACGCACACTAAACGTGAAACGTGAGAAATCATGTTGACAAAAAATTTCCAAAAAAAATATAAATTTAAAAAATTTTTTGTCCAAGGAGTACAAGACATATTGTGATAAACTTTAAGACCTACTTATTGAATCAGGCTCATCAGATAGAAAAGTAAAGAATCTAATAAACGAGGTGAGGAACAGGAAAAAGACCGCTTGTGATACTCCTGGGATAAAAAATTTGTTTCGCATTGTTGTTTCTTTTTGAAAACAAACAGTGTGTTTACATAAGTTCAAATTCAGAGGCTACTTTTTGTAAATCCAAAATGCGTCAACTTTTGTAAACACATCATCAGGGGAATTTTTCTTTTTTAGCTTTGTTACCCGATATGAACTACTGAAGCTTCTTCTTGCTTAAGAAAAACTATGCCCTTTGGTCTTTCTAAAGCACCAGCATGGGCCCTAAATGATGCAGCCATTGAAATAGCATATCCAGTAACCCACTTAGCTGATGAATGCCACGCTCTCAATACTGTTCCGGAGATAGACTTAAATTGGCCAACAGAATACTTTTGTTAAAAAGGAATACCGAAAATTCAATAAACTCCAGACCAATATCTATAACTTCTACATTGGCAAAATTTTTTGAAAAAAATTTTCAACAACGAATGGTTGAGTACATAGATGAATTCTATTGATGAGACAGTAACATCAGAAACAATCAGAAATCAAACCGATCATAAGTCGCTGGTTGCGGGTACTTTTCTTGATATATCCGAAGTCTTCGACTCAATTGATCACAATTTTTTGTTCAAGTTAGGCTTTGATTCAACTGCTCTGAGCGTTATGAAGAGTTATGTGATCAACAGAAGTCATAAAATTGTCATTAGTGGAACATAATTTGATTGGCTCACTGTCGTAAGAGGAATTCCTCAATGTAGACAATCTTAGGATCTTTTTTGCTTAACTCATCTGTCATTGATAATTACAAAACTGTAAAGCAGACGAAACAATACTGCTAAAAAACGGTCAAAATATAAGCCATTAATCTTTAAAAGCCAATAAAAAATATTAAAACTCGATTATAAAATTTTACCTATTGGTTTTTTTTTGCTTTTTTACAGATCATCATTATACTTTCACCAACTTCTAAAAGGTAAAAGGTCAAAAACTTGCTTTTCTAGTTACCAACAGCAAAAAGTTATATACATGAGAGAACATGAGAAAACAAACATAAAAAGTGCAACAGAGAAATTTTTCGCAAAAGCAAATTATTCCACATCAAAAAAAATACAAAACAGTTTTTCTGAATCAATTCATGAACAACACACGCCAAGTATCGTAAGAAAACTTATCATGGAAGAATTTTAAGTACTCGAAGTAACTATTGTATTTGTCATATAAAAGTTCAGTTTCTACACTGCCTGTAGTTTTCGAATTTTACTTGTTAATATACATCAAATTTCAGGAAACTCAGTGTTTTTTAATCCATTGAAAACGAACTATAATCGTAGGTTTTTTTGAATAATTGTAATCCACTATAATCAATTGTAATTGAATAGAGTCCCTTTAAAACTGATTATAATCATAAAATTTTTTAAAACAATATAATTCATTGTAGTCGATCATGCTGATTTTTTTGGGAGGTTTTCGATAAATTTTCCGAATTATGAAGTTACTTTATTTCAAATTTCCTGTTTAGTTCGGTTGCTACCAATTACCGTTCATAAAATTCAATCTTTCATGTAAAATTTTATTTATTCGAATTTTTCAACTTTCGCAATATGGCAGTTTAACATTTTATATAGCTGATGTTTTTGACATCGCCATAGTAAAAAAATGGACATTCAACCACTACCCCTACCCCGCCTACTACCCCTTCTCTGCCCAATACCCCTCACTTGCCCTTTAACTCCCCCCCCCCCCCCCCCACTTGAATAGGGGGTATCTAATAGTTGAAAGGGGAGGAGAACGGTTTTACGGGGGTTGAGTTAAAGTAAACTCCATCACATCTTTTTCCAGAACACCCCCGCCCCTCCCACTGGTTTTGCCCCTCCTCAGTTCAACACCGCTACCCAGTTTTCATGGTCCTCAGCTGAGGACTGAACTGAGTAACAGGTAACTGAACTGTTTATACCCCCAAGTAGGGGGGTTTAATTGGCGGTTGTGGGGGTCAAAACTGTGGGTGTGTGGATAGATAAGGTAATGGTGGTAGGTAAGGCGGTGTGGGGTAAAATGGGGAGGGGTTATATAGACGAATTAGAAACTGGGAGCGGGGTTGTAAACTTGGACGGATGGATGGAGGGTAAATGTTTTTGATTTATATATAGAAGGGTGGGAGTGAAAGCAAGGGCGGATATGTCAAACAGTGACGGGGGTCATATAAACTGGGATGAACATGTTCGTTCGGGTTCTAAGCTTGCGGAACGATGATTCAATAATATTTAGGTGCCAAAAAACTTTTCAAAAAGTGTAATAGTGCAAAGTTCTCTGACAAAATTTCAAGAGTCCACATTGAAAAAAAACTAATTATAATCCCCTAAATATCACTTCATGGTTGGATGGGTCATGGAAATTGATTTTTTTTGTCAATTTAATCCATTAAAATTGGTGATTTTTTTGAGGTTTCAGTGCGCATAGTCCCAAACAAAGTCTGAACATAATCTGAGTCAAAATTTAGGGCTAGGTGCAAACGCATGCCCTACTTCTCACACATGCGTTTCATGGAAAACAATAGATAGTAGTTAAATATTTTTTAATGGATTATAGCCAATTCGTTGCTTGCGTGAAAAAAGTTGGAATACCTCGTATGTCTCGTTCCGTTCTTTCTTGAATTTCCCTTCCATCGCGTCCAACACCCGTGGATATCTCGTAGCCGCCAAGTCCAAATGTGGTTTCCGTTTGTGTAACTCATCTTGCCCTTTTCTCCGAGGCACAAGTATAAGTTGGAGATCAATACTTGTTCTGATTTCATTCGTGGTTTTCCATCCACATCCGCTGGTTAAGCAGCAATCTGTGTCCCGTTAAAAGTACTTGCAAAGTAAAAATTTTTCGGATTTATATAAGTGTTTTGCTACCATCCCCCACTGGAAGCGGTGGAGCCAAAACTCCCACAGCATTTAAGACGTAATTCCTAATGGGGTTTTTCCCCATCTTTTCCTGCTTGCAGCGCCATATTGAGAATGCTGGTTCCGTAACGTTAAAATCCAGTCTTAATAAATAACAGTATTCAATCAAGATCATAAGCGACAACTAAATTAGGAGTTTACCAAAAGTGGCAAAGCACTCCGAAGATTGATACCTGTCAATTGTGTCCAGCACCGGTGTAAGATTAATTGGTTGACAGATGATTTAACGAACATAACAAGATACGATGAGTGAGCTAGTTTAATCACTATGACACCTCCCTCCCCCTCATGTTTCAAGTTTATCCTTTCCCCCAGTTTATCGCTCCCCAAGATTTAACCCCCACGCAGGTGGAAAGTGGTTAACATTGGGGGAGGGGTAAACTGGAGGATGGGGTTAAAAAAAAAGGCTCGTGGGATGGAGAATAAGGAGGGAATGAGAGACGTAAATTGGGCAGAAGTTAGAAAAATCAATAGAAAATAGAAAAAAAAGACCGCTCGTACCAGGGTGAAGCCCTGAATGCTCCGACTGCCTTTTAAAGTTTATGGAGCAGCAGTAATAACATAAAAAAATTACGTGAAATAAAATAAAATTAATTTTTTTTTTTTTTAAATTTGAAATTTTTTATGAAAATCATCTCCCCACACGCCATATAAAGTACAAAAAGATAGATTTCGTTCCTTGTAACAAATCAATTATGGCAAATAAGCTTCGTTCAACCAATTTGGAACGATTTATAAGACGGATTAAATCTCCTCTTACGCGTTAATAGCGCGAATTATATCGCGCGTTAATTGTCCCAAATTGGTCAAAATGGGCAAAATGGCAATCTTTAAACCCTCATAACATTATGAAAAATGATCACAGGTTTGAAATATCTTTTCAAATTTAAGCTCAGGACAACAATACCTTTTGAATGATATAAAAAACCGTCAAAAATTGCTAGTTAAAAAGTCGAAATTTGTCTGAATAAAAAAAACCCACCCCGAGCACAAATATTCCGTTACTTTTGTATCGAAAGTCGGAATCAAAAACATAGAAATTTATGAATGGGAAAAGTTGAAGACAAGACAGCAAATCACTTGAAAATGAAAAGTAAGTTTCAATTTTGCAATTTTCTAATGAAACGTGCGGTAAATCAAAAGCGACTGCCAATTTGGGAGAACACTGCTTTATGTTAAAAACTTCAGACTGTTTAGAAAAAAATTAAAAATCAAATTTAATCATTTATAATTGATTAAAATGAATCATATTCATTTGTCAAAAAAATCGATTATAATCTATTTTTATTCAATCAAAAATCAATTATTTGTTTCTGGGGACTGACAATGAAAGCATAATATAATCGATTTTTAACCATGAAATTCAGTGCGCGTTGGTTGATTTACATTACCCTCATAATCATTATATATGAACTGATATTCATGCTAGTCCCAAGCAAAGTCGGAAAATAATCTCTACAAACTTCGCACAAGATCAAACGGAGGTCATAACTATGATCAGGCACCAAGATAAATTTAAACATGATTTTAGCCGCTAGTTTGAGAGATGAAACTTGCGGCAAAGTCGACATATCATGAATAAGCTGACCGCATCTTGTTGCCAAGAAAATTTTAGAAGATCCCTAAATATTAGATTTTACTATTTTAACAGGCTTTGAACAAAGTACTTTTAAATCTATACGGATTTTTGAATACATTATACGGATACATTCAAAACTGTGCACGGTAGACTGAACATACTGCTCACTGTCCCATTGGTTCCCAGGATTGTTATCGTCACCGTGACCTTCAGTACCTTCAAATTTTTGCGGTGCTTCCCTGCATGTCAAATCTAATTTCTTTGGCTCCCACAGCTCAGAGCACGCAAAGGAAAGGCAAAGAAACGCAGCGCAGAAGACCATTTTAATGTCTTTGTCGGCTCAATATTTCATTCTCGCCTGTGTTGGTGTAGCAACTTAAAATTTCATGGTATATCGCTCATTCATACCACATGATTCAAACCTTTGAAAAAACTTATGAGCGACATCTACTTTCAATGTTTTTCATCGGCTAGAAAACAATACCACCAGTTCAATTTTTGAGTTTGAAAGTCCTGGTATCGAATTTCATAGTATGGAAAAAATGTTTATCTTACAATTTCATAGTATGGAAAAATACTTATTTTGTTATTTTCATGCACTTACTTTTGCTCTATGAAACTGTATGAAAGAGTATGATAAGCATTTTTTTTCATATATGAAGATTGTATGATAATCATTTTTTGTCAACCCGGGTAGCTCACAAAAACCTGTGTTTAATCGCTCGTTCTAAGTTTTATGCTCCAGAATTTTTCATAGGATATACTTGATTTTCCGGCTGAAAATTTGCGTTTTACACAAAAGGTTTCTGTGGAAAATAGATGTGACGAGTTGGAATGGAATGTTCTGACCCAGGTACTTAGTGTAAAACAAAAGAGATTAAAAAATATAACAATGGCTAAATTAAAAAGAATTCTAAAAACAGATTTGGTACGAGGGAGGAGTGATTCAACGCATCATTGCCTATGCTTTATTCTGAAACTGAGTCTGAAAAACTTACTTGGTTTTTTCTCGACACATACATTTTTTTGAATTCAATTCACCATTTAAAGGGATTGAATATACAGTGCTGATTTAAATTATCCGGACAAAACGAACAAAACTTGAATTTTCAAACAGGTTATTCTCAAATTGGGATAATATTAGACAAAAAGTGAAGAGATCAAAAGTTGCTTAGAATTTCATCAGAATGAATATGGTGCAATGTTGTCTCCGAAATTCTTAACCAAATTTTAACCCCAAAAATGGGCCACTTTGGTTTTTTCAATAATCAAGAATTACGCTGAAACTATTTTGTTAATTGACGAGGAATGTATATGACAAGAAGCCTCTTACACAGCCCAACAATGTTCTCTAAACGTTAAATCTCCAAAAATTTGAGTAAATTGTTTAAAATTTGATTTTAAGCAAAGCTTTTGGGTTTTATTTAGTTTTGTTATGTGCCTATAGATCACACTCGCCAATCTTCTCTGCCACAACACTTAGATTCAGAAAGATCACTGAAAGATTTTTGGACTGCCAACCAAGATGTTTTGCCAACGCTCTCAAAAATTGCTGGAAAACACGCTTTCTTGTACTCAATATCAGCAGAAGTGGAAAAAAGCTTCTCCGACTACAAGCGTATTTTATCAGTAGACCGCAGTAGAATTAAATATACTACGCTTGAGATGCTTAATTTCCTTTATTTCAATCTAAATCGTAAAGATTTTTAATTGGAACGTTCAAAAAAGTATGTTTTGTTACCGCATATGCTTGAAAAGACCGCATATTTTAGCTCTTATACGTGTAAAAAGAAATCGGGTATTTAGGAAAAATTACCGCATAAAACCGGTGTCCCTGTTAAGGGGATGCTCGGGTTGAAAATGCTAAATTTATTCTTCGAACAATGAGCAAAACAAATTCGGTTCAAAGTCATGCAAGATAACCTTGTAACTTTAATTATGTCTTCGAGTTGTAAGATCCAGTTTGAACTAATTTACCGTAAAATACCAACAGTATTGACCGAGTATGGCTGAATTTGGCTGGAAACGAAATTCTTCCGAGGGTTGATGCAATTTAGCTTTGTTTTTATTCAATTCTTTTGAAAATTAATTAAAAGGGTTGAAGATTTATCGAGCTACTGCAAAGAACTTTTCTAACTGGGTTTTCATAAAATTTTAGCAACAAAAGCTAAAACTCAGTATTTCACGCCGCAAAACTTTAAGAGGGATTATCAAATGCCCATGAAATTTTCTCTACGATACAAACTATCAGTCAACTAGTAACCAACTAATTTGTTTATTCTTCTGACATCTTTTTATCTTATCTCCGTCAAACAACGAAAATACTTTCACTGAAGAGGATTATACTTAAATATTCGTTATAATTGAACCGTGGTTCAATACCTTTGTATTTCTTAGGCCGACGATTTCACATGTCAAGTTTGCTCGATCAAACACAAAATAATACCTTCACAGAATCGGGTTACATTCAAATATTCTCTAAAATCGAACTTTGGGTTCATATAAAGCTTGAAATTTCTTAGGCTGATGATTTGACATGTTAAATTTGGTTATTTTTTCTACTTGCGTGGCGATAGTTGTCTGCAACTTCGCGGTCCACGAGACGCCCCAATTTCCGTCCAGCTATCAGGTGACTATCATCTTTTGAATACTATAAATAACCTATTAGCCTTCCAGTTTATATTAAATCCTAGTTTTTTCTTTGAAAAAGAATGAGCACCAGAAACGGAACATCAATAATAACGCTAGAAAATTGAAGAAGTCAGCCGATATCTTTTTCTACAGTTTTCGAAAAAAAAACAATTATCAAAAAATATCAAAAATTGAACATTAAAAATCCCGTTGGGAATGATTAAAAAAACGTACATGTTTCTTAGTACCATTGAACGTAAAAATAAATAGTCGGTCGTCTAAAAACTTTGTGAGTCGCACAAAATTTGCAACTCCAAAATTTAATTCAACAGTCATGAATTGCACTTGTTTTGGACAAAAATTTTTTGATGTAATTGACATCAAAAAATTGTGGCGTGATAAAAAGTGGTGTGATGAAAAGAACTGTTCCAAAAATATAAAATAGGCATGCTCGACATATATACTCAAATTGGCTAATTGGAAAACAGTTTTTGTAAAAAAACAGACTAAAAAACCCGTAATTTTTTTTTTAATTTCACAAAAATTTTCAATTTTTTTGCAGTTTTTTCAAGTTTTTGAAAATTTTGGTTCTCAAAAATGCGCTAAAAACTCCAGAAACTAGCTTTGCTCGAGTAAGACAAAATTTTCATGGCCTAAATAAGCTATTTTAAGCCTGCACGCTAAAAGGGTTTAAAGTAAATTATAACTTGACCCATTCCAATAATTGTTTGTGGTACTTGATTTGGCGTGGAAAACAAAAAAAGAAAGAAACTGAAACACACCCGAAAACAATGTTCCTCCACATTTTTCAAATGGTCGGAACAATAAAAAATTATTGTTTGCTCTTCATTAAAACTATTCAAAGCATACACTTCCACGGCTGATACAAATTTTCAACAGCAAAATATAATTTTCATAATTGTATGCTTTGAATAGTTTTACTGAAGAGCAAACAATAATTCGTTATGGCTCCATATGACCATTTGAAAAATGCGGAGGAGCTTTCTTTTCGGGTGTGTTTTAGTTTGATATTTGTTCTGAATTCATCACAATATAGGTTTATATAACACAGAGTCAATAAAAATATTGTTGATATGAGTTATGAAAAATGAGTTATGAAAAAAATTGTTGCAAAAATTATAATACATAGCTAATAAAAAATTGTAAAGTTTAGTCAATGCTTTTACATCATGTTTGTCGAAGATAAAAAAAGTGGTGGCCAATTGAAACTAAATTAAATTTGCTGGTAAGTTTTACTATGGATCCGTGAAATTTTGACGTGCTATAGTTGTTTTGAAGGAATTGTGTATGGTATCAGTCTTACGCATTAGTTTCAAACAGGTGCTCAGTGTCGAGAAGAACTTGTACTTTTTTCTTTTTCACAGAAATGATTTTTTAAGAGTGGGAGTTTGAGAATGAATTTCTGATCTAACTCTTCTCGGAGCTTTTTTTTACGGCTCATCAATCAAGTCGCCCTTCTCTCACAAAGTAAAAGACAGTCAAAAAGTCACAGAAATTATGAATACTGTTCAAAATTTTCAAACTGTTTTCTTATTGTTTTTTCTTAAACTAGGTGAAAGGATATGTTGAGCTTCCATATGCGGAGTTGAAAGAGGACTTCCAGTTCTGGGTTTTGTCCAATGACACTTTCCAGGGCTCCAGGCTGGAATGGTACAATGGACTTGACATAGTCATCGACCAGCCCCAGAGCGGTGAGTGTTGTTCGTTATGAATCAGAATTGTCGGAAATCTGAAAGTCCAGAAGCCCTGAAGTTTTGAAGCTTTGAAGCCATAAAATTGTTTCTATTATGGCTCCTCCTAAAAGGTCAGAACATTTAAATTTTGTTAGGCAATTTTAGTGATAAACTTGAACATTGCAAGAAAATAAATTTGTTATAGTTATTGTTTCGACCATTGAAAATGGGGAGGAACTTTGTATTCGGGTGTATCAGTTTTTTTTCCGCGCAAAAAAAATCAGGTTCCACAAATAATCATCGGACTGGATTGAGGGATATATCATATTAAAGCCCTTTCAGTCGTGATTTGAACGACATTAGAAAACTTTGAAATAGGTTTAAAATTTTTGATTTTTGGTCTAATTTCGAGCTAATAAGGTGACCGTATATGCTCATAATAGCTTATTTAAGCTTAACTTCAGCCGGAAAATCTTAGTTTTATTCAAATAAAGGTAATTTTTGGAGCTTTTAACGCAATTTTATTAACCAAAAACTCGAAAATTAAAAAAAAATTGCAAAAAATTGAAAAAGTTTTGAAATTTTTAATTTTTTTAAGTTTTTTTTTCGTTTTTCTCATGATTTTTTGTTCAAGAACAGTTTTTCAATTGATCTATTTTATTATGATTCTCAATTATGCCTAAATTTTATTTGTATAGATTTTTTTATAACAACATGAAGAAAAATTCATAACTTTTTTTTTGTATTTTTTAAGACTGGTCGGAACATTCTGTGCTACTTGCCCAGTAACCGGCTATCCTCGTTTAAAATTTAAATTTTGCAGGGTCCTTCGGAACAACCTACCAGGTGTCATACACAACCCTGACTAAGAATGGAAACACGGTGCGCAGCTGTTTCGAAGTCTACGGCAGCAACCACTACCCGGTCAAAGCGAACTCAGTGCTGCCTGACCTGGAAGGGTTCACCTATGGGGGTACTGTGGTCAAAGATGGCCTCCAGGTGGACATGATGTTCATGAAGGAGCAGAAGGGTGGCAAAGAGAACTCGTACAAGTTCTACTACACCATGGACCGTAAGTTTAATGCAAATAGTTTGTGTGCTTGAGTCGACAGTTCGTAGCATTTTCAGAGGGCAACAAACCGAACCGAGCGACGAGACTTTTAACAGCACAGCAAGCTTATTGTAATTGGCGATTTTAAAGCGATGCAATTCATGCAAAGATTTTCGCAATGGCTTCGGGGTGCATTAGAAAAAAGAACCAGCGAATGATAAGTACGTTTAGCACTAAATTTTAATTGAATACCCAAATTTATATGTATGGTTAATTATTACGATAAGGTGAACGCTAGCAGCGCATTGGCAGCTAGCAGCGCTTAAATTAGACGGGTGTCACTTCAATCGGTTCATATAACTTTTTCATTTCATCTCTCGGAACTACACTTACTACTTTCAAAATTCCACAAAATCTCAAATAGCAACTTGTCCATGAAAGTGAAGCGAAACATTTATTTTGAAGCGCCATAAAACATCACGTATAAATGCAGCTGACGATCGAAATCAAGACCCTAGAAAGCAGCTATTACCATCATTGGAAACAAAATAAACAAGACTGCTCGTATCAGGGCGAAGCCCTGAATGTTCCGACTGCCTTTTAACGTTTAAGGAGCAGTAATAACCTATAAAAATAAAATGTAATAAAATAAAATGAAAAAAATTTTTTCTTAAATTTGAAATTTTTTTAAACGAAAATCATGCCCCCACACGCAATATTAAGTACAAAACGATAGATTTCGCTCCTTGTAACAAATCAATTATGGCAAATAAGCTTCTTCCAACCAATTTGGAACGATTTCTAAGACGGATTAAATCTCCGCTTACGCGTTAGTAGCGCGAAATGTATCGCGCGTTAATTGTCCCAAATTGGCCAAATTGGCAATCTTTAAACCCCAATAACTTTACGAAAAATGATCACAGGTGAAATATCTTTTCAAATTTAAGCTCAGGACAACAACACCTTTTGAATGATATCAAAAAATTCCGTCAAAAATGGCTAGTTAAAAAGTCAAAACTTGTCTGAAGAAAAAAAAACCCACCCCGAGCACAAATATTTCGTTACTTTCGTATCAAAAGTCGGAACAATAATATGCCGGAGAAAATGGTCACGATAATATTTTACAAGAGGACGTCAATAGTAATTATGTTCATGTTTAATTAGAAAAAGCCAAAATGAGCACTTCTTGGGGTAAAATTTTGGTTAAAAATTTCAGAAAAAAGTGCATCGTTTTAATTCTGGAAAATTCTAAGCAAATTTGCTTTTCGTTTTTGTATAAATTTAACCCAATTTGAGAAAAACGCGTTTGAATTTTCAAATTTTGTCCGTTTTTCCCGATAACTTAAATCAGCACTGTATCAAAGATCAAATTTGTAAAATAATTGATGCGTACAAAAATAATACGACCGATTAGCTAGCCTCAATTCAATTTGAAAGATTTTGTTGCGAGGGACACTTCGCCACGCATGAATAGTTCGCGTTACGTTTTCAGCATTATGGATAAAAATTTAAAAGCGCGCATAACTTAGCCTAGAGCATGGCCAAGTTTGCAATTTTTAAACTCCCAGAACTTTCCAAAAAAGATCGAAAGTAAAATACTTTTTTTTACATTTGATTTTAGCTAGTCAATATCTTCAATGGGGTAAAATAAAGTTTGTTGAAAACCATTGTTTCGATCGCCGAAGGTTGATTGAATAAAAAATTCACATTAAGCTAAAATGTTCCGTTTTCCTAAAAGCAGAACTAAAGGGGTTGGTATCTGTGCGGGTAAACTGATGACAGGATTATTACAGGATCATAGAATGAAGAAAAACAAAAAACAATGTTTTGGATCATGAGACTTGTGAAAAACTTGCCCCTTCTATAGATTAAGGTTGTTTAAATAAAATCATGCGATGAATACTACGTGTAGAACAAATGTTGTAGTATGCAGAGGAAAGTTATTAATTCTTTGGACTGATGACATTCCATGGAAACGTATTTTTAACCATTTTTATGTGTTTTCATGAAATCCATAGATTGGGATGGGGCAAATCTTGTCAGCCAGTTAAAAACCGTAATCTTATAAAGTGAAAAAAGCTATTACGAATGTGGTTGAAATATTCATACCATTTCGAGACAACCTGAGTTGAAAATTTCAAAGGCGCTGTGGGAGGAGGGCATTTACCTATAAACCATTAGAATGATTTAATGTATCCCAAAAGTGGAGACAAAAAAATTTGCAGCAATTTCGACGATTGGAATAATTTCCATTATTCAAAAGCTTGTCCGGTTTGTGAGGAAAAAACAAAGCGTTTCCGAAACCAAGCTTGCTCTAATTACTACTGTATAAAAGGCTGATACGGTCGCAAATTATCAAAAATGCTTTTTTGTATTTAGTTTTACAGAAAAAATTTTTAAATGTTCGCTCCCTTAATGCTCGCATTAAAAAATTTTCAATGCTCTCTCATTTTTGAAACATTTTTGTGAAAATTGGCAGTATATATATTTTCGATGACAAGACGGAAAATAGAAGTCTTAAAAGAGCGTCGAAAAAAACTGCCATGCAACCTGCATGCTGAATTAGAGCATTTATGAAATGAGCCGATTCTTTTATTTCAGAGAACAAAGTGGCTGTACCTGTGTCGTACGAGTTCCTCGGATACGACAAGCTTCTCGGATCCCACTACGACAAATATGAGATCGTCTACAGTGTCTACACCTCCGAGGAAATCTCAGTGGCTGTGTTCGACATCGGAACTATCGTTGATGAGTCCACCTGTGGAGACTTCCCTGGACCCGGTGGGTAGTGTAATTTCAATTTCTATACCGTAAAATAGTAATTTAGTAAAGACACATACGAACCACATATTAAATAACGCGTAATGATATGTTCACCAAATTCACGTTTTCACGCTTAAGAACACGTTTTTGACAATTTTCATTGAATTTGATCGAATGTACTTCAAAAAGTTGAGCTCAAAAAAAGTTGTAAATGTAACTTGAAATTCCTGCAACAATAGGCGCGTCCTCGGTCGAGCACCAGATAATGCTCAACCCGATGCACGACTTACTGCGAACCAGCCGATATGAAGACGCCCACGCTCAATTTGCATCCGCCTTTGGCAAACAGTACGATAACGAGTTTGAGAAACGAAGAGCAGGGATTAATTACATGAAGAACTTGAGACTGATTCACTCTAGGAACAGACAGGGGAAGAAGTACAAGTTGGCGGTCAACTTCATGGCCGATATGGACCAGGATGACAGGAAGGTCTACTTGGGTCTGCGGAAGAAGAACGACAGAAGTAAACTTTCATTTTACATTTCAACAGGGACAGAATAAAGGTTCTTCCACCAGTCATCAATGTAAAGGGGAATGATGTAATTTGGTTCTAAAATTGAATTTTACATAATTAGATTGGAATTTTTTACCTGAAGAGCTAAATAAGTTTGGGCCGAATTATATAAGGTAGGGGGTTGGGGGTTTGGGGTTGGACTGAGGGAGTGGAGTAGAGTTTGGTTTGTTTCTCCTTCAACTGTTATTTTTTATCACAAGTGTTGAAAGTATATGCATTAACTACACTAAGAGTATTCACTAAACACTTATTTTTTTAATGCTAATGATTTTTCTTCAGTGGTTTTTTGTCTACGCTAGTATATTTAAAGGAAGCTATTTAGATGCACGAGAAAATCCCTTACTAATTTTTGTATTCCATCGTGAAATTGTAACTTCTAACATAAATCATACTTCCTCTGAAAATAATGTGGCAAACTCAAAATTGCATGTAAATGTTTAAATAACTGTTGAATTGTTTGATTTTAATTTGGGTGCTTATCTTAGGAAAACCAACGGGACTGAAGGTGGGCCCCAAAGATTTCACTAAACAGCAGATGGACTCTGTCCCAGAATACCTTGACTGGAGACTAGCGGGAGCAGTGACCCAAGTCAAAGACCAGGTACATAATAGCAAACAGAGCCAATTTATTAATCAATTGGGCGATATATAAAAAATTATCACCCAATCGTTCATTACGAACGAGGCCAAACAGAGTAATTTGTGAATTGTAAGCGAATTCCGCAACAAGGACGATTTTTTTATTCTTCTTTTGCTTTTTCATTCTCACTGATCGTTCCCACGAAACTTTATCATGTTTGAAGACTCTCAGAGAACTAAAAACACCAAATTGTATCTATCCAATGCACAGTTTGGCCTCGTAAAGTAAGTTGACTTCAAAAAACTGCTAATCCTACAAGTCCATGAATGGAGTCTATCAAAAAAGTAAATCGAGCTTGTATCGAAAATGACTAATCATGCATAGCACATACTTTGTTTCGAAAACCGTTAAAGTAGCATTTTGTTGAACTAAATTAGGTTTAAAACAACTTTTCATCATTATGCAGACTGCTGGTAAGGTATGAAAAATTTTCATCAGGCAAATCATACGTCGCAACACATATGTTGCTATGTATGGAATATATTTTTCATGGCTACATTTTTTCCCTGAAAAAACTGAAAATTGACTTTAATATGCGAAAATGATTTCGAAAACATATCCTCAATACACGATACGCTTTTCTTGGTTTTCGATTTTTTGTACCATGCAAGTCATGCGTCGCAACACTTATGGTGCTATGTATGAGAATTAATTTTCTTGGAAAAGCCCCGTTATTAAAAAAAAACAACCAAAACAATATCAATTTTTATGCTATTTCTTGTTGTCAAAATTTTCAGTTATTTCAAAAATCTTGAAACAATGAGATGAAAAAACTTAAATGAAAAAAAGTCATTTTTTTGTTTCGAAATCTTCCAATAAAACAAAAACTGAGAGGAAAAATTATTTAGCCAGCATCGGATTGACAGAACCTACGCAATCAAATCAACGGATTGACAGAACCTAGAGAAGATAAAAAAGGTTACTTAAGTTGATGAGTTCTTCAGTTAATTTTCTTCAGCTAAATCAAGGTGTGTTGGGATGATTTCGGCAACATTTTGCCCAGTGTGCCGAGATACACTGACTACGCGTTCAAGGCATTCTCATCCGCTAAAGTGTTTGGAGTAAAATAGTACAAGATTAAGCACAGTGACGTTGTATTATGATCGGTGGGATGAAACTTTATTCAGTTGCGACGCGATCTTTTGCAGAGGCACGCAAGACACTTTTCAAACTGCAGCGTTGATAGGGACCTTGCCTAGGTTAGGTGGGCAACATTTTTGAAGCATTCTGTAGAACAAAAGAAATCAATTCTTTCAATCATATCAAAGACAGATAGGATCAAAACCTGAAGCACTTTGGAATTCTTGAGGAATGAAAAATTTTAAAAGGACTTTGGTTAAAGTTTGTCCTATTTGCGTGCGGTCCTTGAATTTAACCGCAACAGAGTTTGGAAAACGTTTGTTGCAAAAAACGGGATTTTTTTTCAAACTTGGAAAAAATCTGGAAGCTCATCAAAAATTTTTTAGTTTAATATTTTCTATACGTTGCGCCACATTTTTTCCATTGTAATGGTAAGCATTTTTTCAAATAAAATTAAGATTTTCAGAAACCCCCACAAAATGTCTACCTTATTTGGAATCAGTTTCTTTGTAGTTGAAAAAACAGAAATAAGTTTTCATGTTTTTAATTTTCCCTAACGCCTGAAGTAAAATACTTTTTTGCTATTCTAATTACTCATAATTTTGACCAATCAACGCCTTTAATTAATAGTTGAATAATTTCTGGGCTGATTGTTTCCCCGCATTTTCGATGCGATAAATTGAAATCGGAAAAACAAGTTTAAGAGATAGCCCAAGATGGCAGTAAAGAGCCCCCATAACTTTACAATCCAGGACCACCAGTTTTTGATGTTGAGAACAGAATTCAGATTTTTTCAAATAGTATAATCAAGACTGCTCGTATATCAGGAAAAACCTTGAACGCTCCGACTGCCCCTTAACTGTTCTCGAACAGCTTTTATTGAAAAAAAAATTGGTTAACTATAATTTGTGTACCGCCAAAAACAAATAAAAGTGCTATTATCTGAGTAGAGTTAATATGACCAATTATCTTTGAACTCAAGTCGATTTGAAACGATTAAGAGGCCATGCATGAATAATTCGCGTATTGAAACTATCTAAGAAGTGCTCGAGCAGCGATGCTGTTCGCATTTTAGTCTAGTGCAAGCATACTGTTTTGGCATAATCCGAATATTTCCGTGTCCATACCCATAAGCTGCCAAATTTTGTAAAATCGGTCTGAATTTTAGAAAAAAAATCAATCCTATGCATATATATTTCTCTTTTTCTTCGAAAGTTGGAACAAAAAGACTGCTCGAATTAGGGTAAAAATTGCCATGTTCCGACTTCATTTGAAGTTCCAATTCGCATCTGACTCTTCTTTGGATAAGTGTTCAATCTGAAATAGGATTGATAAATAAACCCCCAAATGCTATATAAATTACAAAGTGTAAGATTTTGCACATCTTGAAGTAGACCAAACAGCATGTCTCATATCAATTTAGAGCAATTTCTAAGACGGGTGAAACCTCAGCTGACGCAAAAAAAAACATCGCGCGTCAATTATCCCAAAGTGCCTACAATGCCAACCTTTAAAGCCCCATAACTGTACAAAAGCAAACATACGTGAAATATCATTTCAGGTTTCAGCTCGAGCCAACAATACTTTTCGAATGATATTGGGAATAATTTAGACAATTCCGTCAGAAAATGGATAGTTAAAAAATCCAAGTTTGATTAAAAACCACCCCGAGCACAATTACTCCGTCACTCTTGTCGAAATTCGGAAGCGAAATAGTTGAGAAATTAAATTCAAAACCGAGAGTGATATGAGAAACAAAATCCATCCAAAACGCAAATATTGCGTCATCGACACACTTTTTGTCCCTAACATCTTTCACATAAAATGCCCTAACAAATGTGGGCAAAATATGTGAGCGGTTTAACGTGCCAGATTCATATTCCATCAGTTTTTTTTCAAAACCATAGCGACAAGAAGTCGATTGCGTATACAAAACTCGGAAAACCATATACATGGACACAGGTGGTAGATTTTGATCACAAAGAATATTCTTACAAAAAAAGATTTTGTCATTAGCATGCCCGAACTGAAAAAAATGGTTTCCGATCAATTTAAATTGATTTTAAATAAATCTAAACCGATTAAAAATGTACATTTGAGGAACGGAAATGAATTTAAGTTGTTTTAAGTTTTTTCTTGAAAATTATCGATCAATTTGAGTAGCTAAAATTTAAATTGTTTTGGATGGAATCTCCTATTCACAGAAATTCATTTGCATCAAGTTAAATTCCACTTAAATGCATTTTAAAAGACCCCTGAGCAGATCGATTTAAGTGTCTGTTTGATTTATATTAAATCTGTTTAAGCAAAAATCTATGTAACGCATCAAGAAACTGGTCAATATAAATCAAATTTTGAGCTCAAATATACGCAATTGAATAACAGAAAGAACCTGCGTAACGAATCAAGAAAGGTTCAAAACAAGTCAGATTTTGAGCTCAAAAGATTTCAATGAAGTTATAGAAAATATTCAACGTAAGTTAGATTTTTAGCAAACTCGTAAATAGAAAATCAAAACAATGGTTGATATAACTCTTGTTTTGATTTTCAAAACTATATATAAATCAAAACTATAAATCAAAACTATATATAAGATGGCAACTTAATTCATTCCAAACAGGAAAAATTTTGAGTTTTCAAAATTATTTGGCCGTTTTATTATGCTACCGAACACCATTGATGTCAATTGATAAATATTGGCAAAAAATAAATGCACCACAAACTCGAAACTGCTGAAAATGAAAAAACAAAAAAACAAAAAAGTGATTTAATTCGAGTTATATCCATTTTAATTTAAATGTTTCAAAAAACTCAACAATCGTTGGATATGATTTGATTTGAAATTGATTTAAATCATTTTTTTAGGTAGGATTAAAAAACAATTTAAATCAATTTTAAAGTGATACTAATTAATCATAATCTTTTTATTATATTTCCAAAATTTTTTCATGCTAAAATCAATCTCAATTCATTCAATCTTCGTACTTTTTATCCTTATTCATTTTTGTCAGTTGTTGATAATAAAACAAGGCAAACCCTGCAAACATAATCTGAATTATTGAAATTTTCAATAGTGATTTGCTTGTTTTCTTCAACTACTTTTTTAGGCAATTTTGAGGGCAAACCCTTGGACCACAGTAAAATTGTTTTGTTTTAGAACTCTCTTTGACGACAAAAAAGTGCTCTTCTCAAAACTGAATTTCAAATTCCGCAGTAGATTATTTAGAAACTTGAAACTCTTTAGGGTTAAGCAAAACGGACAAATTTCTGTTCAAACTTTTTTAACGGCTCCAAACAATAGTTTCAACGCAATAGTTTCAACACAATTAATTGAGCTTTTTAAGGTTCTTAAATAATTTAACAGCGCAATTGAAAACAGTGCGTAATGCTTTCTGTCGTCCAAAAATGTTAATTGCAGAGTATTATTCCACTTTCTGAATTTGTTTTTCAGGTTTTTTTTCTGAGGTAATTTCATAGATCATGCTTTATTGATTAATATTTTTGTATTAAAAGTATAGAAAAATGGGGCTTCAATGGATATTGGAGCGAATTATTTTATCCAGGAGAAAACACGTAAAACTCACATAAAACACGTTGAAAGCAAGGTAGCCCAATATCAGTATAAAGCCTTGAAATTTCCGACTGCCATTTAACTGGTCTATTTGGTCAATTGGTCGAATAACCTAAGTAAATTAAAAGTAAAAATATAAGTCTTAGGCTGATAATATCACAATTTGAGTCAATTGCGTATACAAAACTCGGAAAACCATATACATGCCCACAGGTGGTAGATTTTGATCACAAAGAATATTCTTACAAAAAATGATTTTGTCATTAGCAAGCCCGAACTGAAAAAAATGGTTTCCGATCAATTTAAATTGATTTTAAATAAATCTAAACCGATTAAAAATGTACATTTGAGGAACGGAAATGAATTTAAATTGTTTTAAGTTTTTTCTTGAAAATTATCGATCAATATGAGTAGCTAAAATTTAAATTGTTTTGGATGGAATCTCCTATTCACAGAAATTCATTTGCATCAAGTTAAACTCCACTTAAATCCATTTTAAAGACCCCTGAGCAGATATTTTTAAGTGTCTGTTTGATTTATATTAAATCTGTTTAAGCAAAAATCTATGTAACGCATCAAGAAACTGGTCAATATAAATCAAATTTTGAGCTCAAATATACGCAATTGAATAACAGAAAGAACCTGCGTAACGAATCAAGAAAGGTTCAAAAAAAGTCAGATTTTGAGCTCAAAAGACTTCAATGAAGTTATAGAAAATATTCGACGTAAGTTAGATTTTGAGCAAACTCGTAAATAAAAAATCAAAACAATGGTTGATATAACTCAGATGGCAACTTAATTCATTCCAAACAGGAAAATTTTTGAGTTTTCAAAATTATTTGGCCGTCTTATTTTGCTACCGAACACCATTGATGTCAACTGGTAAATATTGGCAAAAAATAAATGCACCACAAACTCGAAACTGCTGAAAATGAAAAAACAAATAAACAAAAAAGTGATTTAATTCGAGTTATATCCATTTTAATTTAAATGTTTCAAAAAACTCAACAATCGTTGGATATGATTCAATTTGAAATTGATTTAAATCGTTTTTTTAGGTAGGGTCGAATAACCTAAGTAGGGTCGAATAACAGTTTTTAATTGGTCGAATAACCTAAGTAAATTAAAAGTAAAAATATGAGTCTTAGGCTGATAATATCACAATTTGAGTTGTATATGGAAACAATAAAACCAATTCGCTGCCTCAATTCAATTAGGAACGGTGTTGTAGCGCGGGACAATAATTTGACACGTGTAAAGTATAAATTGAATAGTTTAGTCTGAATCTTTCAAGGATACACTAGTGGTGTGCATATCCATCTGGAACCATGCAGACAAAGAGATCGATCCCCGAATACCAAAATTTTGTAAAAATGGTCTTAATAAATAAAAACAAACACGAGCAACTGGTTTCGAAGGCCAGAAAAAACTTGGTGGTAAATTTAAAAAAAGGTTGGTTGTTCTGATTTTCGAAGACTTACAGAATATTTGAAGATATTTTTTTCTCCGGGCAAATTTCAACTTTTTAAAAAGCCGTTCCTTGCGAAGTTTTTTATAGCCTCCAAATTTAATTGTTGTATTGAGCTCAAACTTAAAAGTATTTTTGTAAGGTTTTTAGGGGTTGCAAGATTGGCAATATGGTCAATTTGGGAGCATTAAAGCGCGATACGCTGTTAACGTGTAAGCGGAGGTTTGATCTATTTAAGAAACCATTCCAAAGACTCTTTGCACGCAATTTTGTAGGCGACAATGTTTTAAAAAGCGTTAGAGACAATGATGCAGAAAACATAAATATCCTGGAACGCTGTTTTCAACCCAAAGTGTGGATAAATTTCAATTTAAAGTCTTCATATCGGTCAAGGTCAAATGTCCAGAGAGGTTGTTTTGAAAATTTGAGAAGTTTTACATCAACTTTTTTAAATTATAATTTTTAACACAAAAGTTTGAACCCTTGCTTGCAAACTAAGGTTGTAAAAATAAAGCTAAAACTCAACAATTCATAAAATTGCACTTTAGAAGATATGGACGGTTTTACGAATCTTTATAAAATTCTAAAAACCTATAAAAAATCAACAAAAGACCCAAATTTTGAATTTTGTACGCTTTTTGTAATTCAAGAGAATTGGAAATATTTATTAGAATTTTTAAAAAGTTCTAAGAACAAAAATCATACAAAACCTTTTAGATTCCGCAAAAAAAAAAACTAAAACTGACTGAATTAAAAAAAACCCAAGCATAAACATTCTGTTATCTTCGAAAATCGGGACAAGAGCACGACCAGATAGCTCTGGTAACCGCAGAAGCACGTATCAAGACGCATACTCAGTTCAGTATCAATATGCGTTCTAAGAAAACAAGTTCATTGAAAAAAGAAGTTGCTTGGAACGAACACTGATTGCCACGGAAATGGTGACCAGGCTCAATCCACTCTGTAAATTTATTTTTTAAACGCAACGCCAACAACTCTATGGACGTAAAATATGAGCAATTATTTTTTAGGAGACAATGTTTTACAAAGCGTTAGGGACAATGAAACAAGAAACATAACAATCCTATAAGTTTTTTAAATTCAAAGTGGTTTCAATTTGAACTTAAGGCCTTCTTTTAGGTCAGTTTCAAAAGTTCAGAGAAGTTGTCTTGTAAAGTTTTTATCTTGAAAATTTGAGAGTTTTTACATCGATTACATTTTCAAATTAAAATTTTTAATACACAAGTTTGAGCTTTTTGTTGCATACTATGGGTTTTTAGGGTTGTAAAAACAAACGTAACCATTCATAAAGTTGTACTAGAGAAGATATGAGCAGCGGTTTTACGAATCCTACAAAAAAAAATTTTAAATCAACAATAAACCTAAATTTCGAATTTCGTACCCGAGGGTGTATGCTTATGGAAGGTGTTGCATAAGCTTATGATTCCCATACCACATTTCACTTTTCAGAATCTTGTAAATCAGGAGATTTGGAAATCTTTAATAGTCATTTAAAAAGTTCCAGAAACAAAAATTACTCAAAAAAAATTGGATTTAACACTTTCTACCCGTGTTTGCTTGCTAACTGGGGTGAAGTGTAGGGTTACGATTTATCTTCTACAATTTTTAATGCAATTTTTCGTTATTGCATGGTAACGTGGATGTAGTTTAGAAATCCAATTTTCATTGCTAATCTGGACTTTCTGAAGCTTGTAACTTTCCGAGAAATTTTCAAAAAAGTCAAGAAATACTTTAAAGTTCAAATTTTTTTTAGCAGTGGTTGAATGCAAGCGTGGGTGTAGTTTTGAATTGTGATTTTAGTTCCAAAACTTTTTTTGACAACTCTTAGTTTAAAAGAAATGCAAAATTTTTTAAAGCGTAGGGTTCTAAAAGCATAGGAAATATTCGGAAACTGATTCACTCTTTGACAAGAGTTGATACTATTCAAAATTTTAATGCTTGAAATATCTGCTTAGAAAATAGTTAGATTTTCATAAAACATTTTTTTGGAAATAAGTCAAAATTTTATGCCTGGAAGAGCCTGCTTAGAATTTAACTTAATCGAACCAGTTAGCTCTATGACACAATTTGAAATGATTCACAGTTACATCGCGTCGCTCGAGTAAGTTGCTTGAAAAAAAAATTAAATTTTTGCAAGCCAAGTTGTTCTATGAAACATGTTGAAAGTTTCTTCCATTGAATAACTTATTCGAAAATCCGTCAATTGAATAGCGTGCCCGTGCCTTGAATACTTTGAATTTTTTGCAAGCCATTTCTGCATTGAAATGACAGGAAAATTCTGAGTTTCAATGTTTCAATAATTTGCTAAAGAAAAACTTTTCAGGAATCTGTTTACTCTTAAAAAAGCTGTTTACTCTTTTCAGGAATCTGTTTTACTCTTGATTAGCCTGCTTAAAAAAATCCTTAATTTTTTGCGAACCATTTCAAAAAACTTTAGCATATTTTACATATTCATTGCTTGAATAGCTTGCTGAGAGAAAAACATTTTTTGTTAATGAAAAAAATATTGACTTTAAAGTGTGAAACATGGATTTTTTCTTCGCTTGATTGTTTGCGTCTAAAAAAAACTATTGCGAATCAGTTTAATTTGTTGAACTTTTTTTCAAATAGCGTGTCTGAAATCACTTCAATGGAGACGCTCCTGCTAGTTTCAATTAATTTGAGGCAAAGTGAGGTTACGAATCGTTACAAGCCATAAATTATAAATGTACTTTCGGATTTTTTGAAAATATATTATATATTCAAATTTTATATGATTTTTGAAAATTTCATCACATGTTTTCGAACACTTTGAAAAACCGAAAAACAAGTTTAAGTACAATCTAAAAGCAGAAAACTTTGTCTTGACATGCAGTCTTGTTTGGACTGAATTAATGCGATAATGCTGACATACAGAAGCGAAAAAAGCAGAGCAAAAAAGGAGTCTTTAAAAAAGAGTGTGAATGAAAATCAATGTCATGAAATATGATGAAATAAATAAATAGTACTTGTAGAAATAGTTTTTTGTAGAAAAATCGTTAGCCAACGTTTTTACAGATTTTTGACCATGTATGAGTTAAACTTTTTCGTGACATATTAGTTCGTGAGAACAAAATTTCTTCTGCTTGTTCGATCAGTTTTGGACTAATATTCAGACTGCGTGACAAAATCCATGCATACTCGTCCTTATAAATATAACTCGAAATTTCCCCTATATAACAAGAATGAAGTAGCACATACTCGTCCCGTTTAAGATCGAGCACTCGTATAACTCGTAAGTCGTAGGAATCGTCGAATTTCAACGTAAAGTTCTGCATATCATTGATATCGTCTGTTACTAGATTTCCGAAATGGAAATACCTTGGCACAAATGGATGTATTCCAGTGAGCAGGAACTGGATCTTTTCACCTGTAATTAGTTTGAATTTCAATTGCTTTCGGATCAAACATAAGCAGATTTTTTTGCTCTTTTCCAGTCCCTCCCTATTTATTTTTTTGATGAAACGATTTTCCTAAACGATGGTAAACAAGAAAAAAGCCTATTTTTAATATATAGCAAAACCTTGGATGGAGAGGAACGTCACGACTTCTTTCGTTTTTGAAACATACGAGACTCAAGGTTAGGATAAAGGCCGCATTTGTTTTGAGAGGAAGTAGCAAAATACATAAGATATTCAACTCAACCCTCATAATCTTTGATGTCTTGAAAAGTCTTGGTTAAACTTTTAAAAAGTTCTGGCTGTTTTGGCAAGTTCTTGCCAAAGAATCAAGAAGATATCATAGATTCTTCAAGAAATCTTGATGAAAAACAAAGATCATTACGAGGCCAAACTATGCACTGGATAGACGTACAATTTTGTGTCTGTATGTTCCTGGATTCCAGAGACAAGCCTTTAAACATGTTAAAATTTTGTTGGAAAAATGAAAAAATTAGAGAACAAAAGAAGAACAAAGGGAGCGTCCTTGTTGTGGAATCCGCTTACAATTCACAAAAGGCACTGTTTGGCCTCGTAATGATAGCAAAGAGTTTCTTGAAAGAATTTTGACAATTTCCAAAGCAGATGGGCATAATTTCACATTCAAGATTTTCCCAAGATTTCAAAAACTTTTCGGCCTACTTATTGAAATTTAATCTACGCTTTTCAGAAAAAATCTCCGGAAATCTCGGCTTTAAAAACAAAATTGTAAAAAACAAATAATTTCAAATTGGGCATACCATTACTATAACAGGTTCAAATAATCAATGAGTTAAGCTCATTACAAATTATGAGCTTGAATAACAATCACCATAGTAAATATGAAACCACCCGCATCCAGTTTCAAGCGTTAATAATCAATTATAATATGATTTTAGTACCACTTTTACAAAAATTTTGGAAAAATTGATTTTAATCAATTAATAATCGATTATAATCTTTTTTTTTGAAATCAAATGTAATCAATTATAGTTCATTATAATCGATTATAGTCGTTTATTTTATCCGAATTTCTAATTCGTTTGTTTTGCAGAAAAATCTATTATAATTAATAATAGTTGATTATAAACCCTTTAGTTTGCTTATTTTGTCTTCGACCTTGCACATAGGTTGCTTATTGTTTATGCTTTTCGTAGACGTCAAATCAATTCAAATTTATAACGTTATTGTTTCTTTTCGTCTTGATTATAGTTGTTTCATGATGCAAATCTTAGGTTTTATTACCACCAAAGTATCAGCACACTGCTTTAGTTTCATGAGATATATAGAAGAGTTATATTTCACCTATCGCGGGATTCTTTCAACTAACATGAAGGGATATCTATGAAACTTTTGTTTTGTGGTAAAACTTTGTGTTCAGGTGAACCAAAGAGTGACGTCATGACATCTCACTTTTAAAGATTTTTGACAAAAAATGGATTATAATCTATTATAATAGATTATATTTGAATAGAAAAATATATAAGAGATTATAGGAGATTAAAATGGATTATAAGAGATTTTCGGAAAATTTATAATCAATAATAATTGTTTATAATTTATTATAATGTCACGAAAAAGGTTATCATTTTAAACAGCGAGATCTGATGGCTTTTTTTCTCTGACAACTGATCCGCAGTCAGGGTTTGATTTGGGGGAGGGGTAGGGGGGTTTGGGTAGCTGACACTTCCTTTTTTTCAGGGATTAGACACCTTGCCAACTCAAATGGTCTCCCTTTGGCACTATTTTAAGACATTCATTTTTGGCTGACCGACCCTAAAATATTTGCAAAGGCGCCAAAGGATTTTAATTTTTGCAAAGGCCCCAAAGGATACTAATTTTTGCAAAGGCGTCAAAGGGGAGCGCGCGCCAAAAAAACATTCAATTTTTTGTCAAATATTTCCAGAAACTGCCTACAAAAGCCATTTTTGCCCATATTTTTGGACATTTGCCAGAGACGCAGAAAATTTGGTCAAAATAAGGTTCTTACAGTGATTTATGAAAAAAGATCAAACATTTTTCAAGAAAATCCCCCCTCGAGATTTTCCTAGATCCACCTCTATCCGCAATACCACAGACATATTTTCAAATTTGATGCTCTAGGACAGCTCGGAAAATCAATTTGGGCAACCAATCGAAGTCATTTTTTCAACTCCACTCCGTGCAATACACAAATCAGGCTAATTTTCAGAGCCCTTCTACGTCACCGCAAAAACTCTATTTGCTAAAAAAATTTGCGCCGGAAGTTTAAGAAAGCAAGCCATATTAAAACTATTTTTCTTTGTCACCATCAAAACAATTGAGCATGATGGCGACAAAATAGCTTCCGAAAACTTTAAGCTGATCGGCCTAAAGTATAAATCGTGAAAGCGAGCCAAAAGGAGGCTCTTTGTATGATGGGTGGGGAGTTCTCTTTCTTCAAGAAATCCGCTCCTGATATAGTTTAAGAGTAAGGTCAATTGGATATTACCTTGAGGAGTTTCAAGGCTACTGATTTCGAACTTGGCGCATCTCAGAAAATTTTCTCGTGGAAATGGTGTGCGTTTGATTTCGTACCAAGTGCCCAAAAGGTCGCTCAGCTCCACTGAGATCTTAGAAAAGTTTTCTGCAGCCAGACAAGTGATGTCCCTTCTGGCATCCAATTTTGAGATGATTAAACTCATGAACACAGCAATGATGCAAACTCTAAAATCCATTGAAGCAATCGAAGGATATGCGAACACGCGAGTCTCAAGGTCAAAAGATGACTGCAATGTTTACGGAGGTGTAACGAAGAACAAATTAACTCTTTTTGGATGATTGGAGCGTTTAATTCCAGGACTACATTAAATTATGACATTCTAAAAATAAATGTCCAATTTGAGCCAATCTTGAGTACAAAACTGTTAAATTATTCGTAGTCAATTCCAAGATACAAAAAAGTCACTGTTAAACATTATACTTGAAAATCTTGACAACTCTTAGAATGCTTTATGGCGCTCTTCGATACTTGCAATTGCAAAAAAAAATAGTTGAAATTATCAAACAGAACAAGAGTACGCAAAAACAAGAGTACACAAAACTGATTCAGTTTTAGCTTTCGGACATTTTGCAGTTTCAAATTTTAGCCAATTTTTTTTGATAATTCTTCCTTTTTGTAAAAAAAAAATGGGTGGTAAAACTAACGAAGAGATATTTATAAAAAAAACTAGTACCGCAAAATATATCAAAAGTAGCTCAACAAGTTTTAGAAAGTATAATTTCTCCACGTTTGTGTAAATATTTTTACTTTGTGGTCGAAAAGTTTTTTTTAACCAATTTAATGCCAAATGTTGATTTAAAATTGTTTGAATGTTTTGCGCATAACTTTATTTGGTATTTTTGGCTTAACTTTTGATTGACTAAAAAACCGAAATCACCCTTTTCTAAGGGTAAATATTTTGTCCGATTTTCGAAAATAAAATTTCGCCATATGACTTCGCCAATTTGAAATTATTTCACCAACTAAAAATGCAAAAACTCCTAAATAGTTGTTGTGTTTATCATTTTTTTTTGTCTCACGTTAACCTTTATTGAAAAATACGCAGTTAAATTTCCCAATTTAGTTTTTGTTGGGTTAATTTAAATCAGCACTGTATTCAGTTATAGTACAAGTTCAGAGCAGGTTCAAACTATCTGGACAAAACGAATGAAACTAGAAAAAAAAAGAATTTTCTCGAATTGGATCGAATTTATACAAAACTTGACAATTACAAACTGTTGATTGAAACTTGCTAAAATTTTTTTTGCCGTAATACACAACAAAACGACCAACAAAACGGTTTTTTCAGTCCATCAAAAATTACACCAAAAGTATTGGTTCAATTGCCGACAAAATTATATCATGTAGCTAACAAAGCTTAAGAAGCGTATAAATTTCTCAATTTTGCTTAGATAATTCTTTTTTTTTTTCACGTTGGGTAGCCACCAAAAGTAGTTTCTACTTAAATAAATACCATTTCTGTACTTCAAAACAAATCTTAACTGTTTGCGCCAATTTTGAAGGTTAAGCCCCGCTTAACTTTTGTTGTATTACATCAGAAGCTCTTTATTAAATAACGTTAGCAGCAATTGAATTAGGACTTTTCGCGTAATGTTCAATTGACTAAGTAAAGCCAAACATAGTACAGTGCTGATTTAAATTAACCGGACAAAACGAGCTAAACTTGAAATTTAAAACGCGCTTTTCTCAAATTGGGTTCAGTTTAGGTGAAAACTTATGAGACAAAACTTGCTTAAAATTTTAGCAGAATCAATATGGTGTAATTTGTTTTGCGAAATTCGGGCCCAAAAATTTACCCCAAAAATGGGTCATTTTGGTTTTTCTTAGTGCATCAAAAATTACGCTGAAAATACCCGGTCGATCTCAGACATAATTATACCAAAGTGAGCCCCTTACGTAGCCTAACAAACTTTAAGAAGGGTATATTCTCCAAAACATTGTATAAGTTCATTTATTTTTGTTTGATAGACAAAAAAGGTCGTTTTTACTATATAAAACAGCAACTTTTTATTTAAAATCAATTTTTAAACGATTTGCATTTTTTTTTGGAGAATATACACTTCTTAAAGTTTGTTAGGCTATGTAAGGGGCTCACTTTGGTATAATTATGTCTGAGATCGACTGGGTATTTTTGGCGTAATTTTTGATTAACTAAAAAAGTCAAAATGACCCATTTTTGGGGTAAAATGTTGGGCCCGAACTTCGCAAAACAAATTACACCATATTAATTCTGCTAAAACTTTAAGCAAGTTTTGTCTTCATAAGTTTTCACCTAAACTCAACCCAATTTGAGAAAAACTAGTTTTAACTTTCAAGTTTTATTCTTAAGTTTTATTCTTTAAGTTCAAGTTTTATTCTTTAAGTCTGAATAATTCAAATCAGCACTGCAGTTCAAATCATCTGTTTTTTGTTTCTATAAGCAGCTTTTCAGGGCTAAGACAATATTTAATTTCCTGAAAAATAAAAACTAAGCAAATCTTAGTCGAAGTGAACAGATACTCTTCACTCGAAATTTGTCTAAAATCAAAATTTTCAAACTTGTTCGGATGTTTCGATAATTTAATTCGCGAAGGAAAGGGCTTCGTTTTGATGTATCAATCGACATCACATGACGTTTATTTGTGATTCCTGATTTCGTGTGAAAACAATAACTAAAAACACTGAGTACAAAGCTCTTATCTACTTGAAGTGATTATAGCATGCCACAAACCATGTTTCTTGTTTGCCTGATTTGAAGGCTTTCTGTGGCTCGTGCTGGAGCTTCGGCACCACTGGAACTCTGGAGGGCGCTTACTTCCTCAAGTACGGACACCTGGTGCGACTGTCTCAGCAGAACCTTATGGACTGCAGCTGGGAGCAGGGCAACAACGGCTGCGACGGAGGAGAGGACTGGAGGTCATACGAGTATATACAAAGCCAGGTATATGTATTTGAAGATGTCTTTAGCACCCCTTCCCCCCACTCCAATGGAAAAAGAGGGGAACTTCATTGCTAAGTTCAATATGCGTACGCTATGTTTTCTTCCCCTTCTAGCCTAAGAATTTATATTGGAAAAAAAATTGTGTTCACTTAGTTTGATTGATATTATATTTGATAGATGTGATTTGGCAGTTCAACGAATAACCTTGTTCTTTGATTAAAACACAACCTTGTTAAACTACTGGTTACATCGTAACTTTGAAGTTTAAGTAAGGAGGGGAGAAATGAGCGTATGAAAAAAGCTGATAGATTAACAGTTGGGGTAGACGCATTAGAGCAAATATACTCAAGAAAAAATCGAGTTTTTTTTAAAGGAAGTTTTTCCTTTAAAAAAACTCATTTTTTTCTTGAGTATATTTGCTCTAATGCGTCTACCCCAACTGTTAATCTATCGGCTTTTTTCCTCCGCTCATTTATCCCCTCCTCACTTAAACTTCAAAGTTACGATGTAACCAGTAGTTTAACAAGGTTGGAAAATTTGGCATCCTTCCACCCATTGGGAAAATTTGGCAGCCAGAATTCAGAAGGGGCGGTCGCCCTACCCTTCCCCCTACCCCCGTCGGCACGCCGCTACTGGACCACGAGGTAAAAATAGGGCGTAAACTTGATAGCGAATGCGGCCAAATCAAGAAGAACGCTTCCTTAATCTAGAGCTTCCTTATCCTAAATTAGTGGCGAGCGCAGAAGTTCTTCAGGAGGGGCGGTTTTTCGAAAAAAAGAAAGTTTTGTCGTTATTTTTTTAGGTCGATCAATTTGATTTTCCAAAGTCTCTGAAAATACTATAAGGACCCTGTTTTGCTCAATTTTTTTGCAATAAACAGGCTATAAATTACGTAGCATTTTTAAAATTAATTTGACCAAAAAACTGCGTTTTTTCACCGCGCGATCCCCTTAACTTTATTTAGATCCCCCTCAAATAATACTTCAAGTTTTTTTGATGTTGCACACCTCGTAAATTTATACCAAAAGGGACACCCATTGGGAAAATTTGGCAGCCAGAATTGAGATGGGTGCGATCGCCCTGCCCCTCCCCCCTACCTCCGTCGGCACGCCGCTACTGGACCACGAGGTAAAAAGAGGGCGTAAACTTGATAGCGAATGCACCCAAATCAAGAACGCTTCCTTAACCTAGAGCTTTATCCTTAATCAATAGCAAAATCATAGTGGCAAAGTCTCGACTATAGGATGAGCAATTTTCAAAATAATTTCCTAATTCTCCAAGCAAATGGCAACATGAGTTTAATTCTAAAGCGTATTGTTTGTCAGAAAACTGTCAGGTTGAAAACCAGAGAGGCGCAAAACTTTACAACTCAAGTGGACTACTCAATTTTTGAACGCATTTTTACACAATATTTAGTTTGGTGCTACCAGGGTCGATGTCCTCGACTTATGTTTTGACTTTTGAAAGTCGACCGAGTGCAGTTTTGCGACTGAAATTACGCGGTCGAGAAGCACTTTTAAGTCAACCGGAAAGTCGAAACATACGTCGAGCACAGTCTAAACATACCCAACTTCGGTCGAGAAAAACGAAACATAGGTCCAGCACACTTTAAACATACCTGATTTTGGCCAGAAAAGTCGAAACATAGGTCGAGAACAATCGAAACATAGATCGAAATCGGTCCCAAGATAGACCGAGCATAAATTGATTTTTTTCAAAATTCAATTTTTTAAACTTAATTTTGAAGTACTAATTGGGCAAAAAACAATCTGCTCATAAGAGATCTCCGTCAGAAAGTTGGTGCACTTTTTCTAGGTTCACTCTTATGTCTTACAGGAGAGTGCACCATCGCAATCAGCAAAAACCAATTAAGGAGATTTGCTTACCGCAAAAACTAAAAATCTGTGAGGGAACCCTTCAATTTTTTGAGATTTAATGGCTCCTGTAGCAAGGAAAAGTACCTTCTTTGAAATCTCCTCAATTACGAGTTTTTATATCAACTATTTTTGTCCAGATTTGTTCAGAAAACAAAAACAAAATGGAGAAATAGTTTCTAAAGATTTATTTTCGATGCGAAAATTTTGCATTTTACTGATTCTTATAATTTGTTTTCATTTGATGATTTGTCAAACATCATCCCAAAAACATAACTGAAATGCGTAAATTATATTTTTTGTCATAGTCCTCGTCTTATTTGATAGTCAAGTAAGTCGAGAGAGTCGAAACATAGGTCGAACACAGTTGAAACATAGGTTGAGCACAGTTAAAACATAGGTCCAGCACAGTCGAAACATAGGTTGAGCACAGTCAAAACATAAGTCGAGCGCAACCAAAGTTTCAAAAATTAGTTTTTTTTACGTTGGAGTTATTTTAAGGTGGAGTTATACATTCATTCATACATACATACATACATACACACATACAAACATGCACAAATACATAGATACGTACATTCATGCATACATACATACATACATACATACATACATACATACATACATACATACATACATACATACATACATACATACATACATACATACATACATACATACATACATACATACATACATACATACATACATACATACATACATACATACATACATACATACATACATACATACATACATACATACATACATACATACATACATACATACATACATACATACATACATACATACATACATACATACATACATACATACATACATACATACATACATACATACATACATACATACATACATACATACATACATACATACATACATACATACATACATACATACATACATACATACATACATACATACATACATACATACATACATACATACATACATACATACATACATACATACATACATATATACATACATACATACATACATACATACATACATACATACATACATACATACATACATACATACATACATACATACATACATACATACATACATACATAGATACATATATGCATACATCTGAGTGAGCTCGAGACTAATTTGATTTGGATCGAACAAATTGTGGAAATAACTTTGTGTGTCAAGGAAGTCAAGACAGTTGAAAACATACCCATTTTTGGTCAATAAAGTCGAAACATTCATGCGGGGTCGAGCAAAAAAAATTTATAAAAAAAGACGGTCGAGACAGTCGAGAAGGTCGAAACATATGGAAGTTTGGTTGAGAAAGTCGAAACACTTTTGAACTGGTTCGAACTTTTTACCGAACCGAACTTTTTACCGGACTGAACTTTTACTTTGAAAAAATCCCGCACAGATCGCCGGAATGAAAAAAAAATCGTTTTAAACTATTAAATGAGGTTTCTGGTCTGCAGTGAGAGGACAACATCAAAAAGACAGCCTGCATTTTGTAATGTGGATTGCATGTTTAAAAATGCATTTTAGATGGGAGGCTTGATGACCGAGGATGACTATGGACAATATCTTGGACAGAATGGAAAATGTCACTTCAACTCATCCGAGAACATCATCAACATCGGTAAAATGCGCTCATGCTTGCAAATGTTCTCAGGATGTGTTGAAAAGTTTTGAAATTAAACTAACTTATCCGCGTTTTTGTCCTCGACATAAATCCTCCGTCTTATCCTTCGCTTTAATTTTGGTTTTAGAATTGTTATAGCTTCCAGAAATTTTTTAAAATTTGAAAAAGATTCAGCTTGTTTTATTTAGACAGTTATGCTTTTGTCACTGGTAAACAGGAAAAAACTGTCAAAACGGCCTTGAATATCCACGGACCACTCTCAGTAGGTATCGATGCCTCCCTCGACTCCTTCTCCTTCTACAGCCACGGAATCTACGATGACCCAGAGTGCAAGAACGCACTGGACGATCTGGACCACTCAGTATTGCTGGTCGGATATGGAAACCTGGGTGACACGTCCTACTGGCTCGTGAAGAACTCCTGGTCTACCTACTGGGGCAACCTGGGTTACGTAACATTCGCGACGGAGGGCAATGTCTGTGGCGTTATGACTCAGCCGAGTTACGTAACTCTGGCGAACAGCGCGAAGAAATTCCAAGGAGAAAAAGAGGTCTAAAAGAACTTTAAAGTCGGGCACATATAATCGATAAAGTGTGTAAATGGATAAGGGTTGTTTATTTTCACTGGAACTTGTTGTCGAAAGTGAAAACAGAAATCATATATAATTTAGCAAAAACATTATTTCAATACAGCTGCCTTTTTAACTTCTCATTTAATTGCGCCCTTTTCAAAACACAAAAATGTAGAGGACTGCATGTGTTTAAGTTTATACACGCATCTGGAAGGAAAAATTTCTACTCAGTTTCAACAGAGAAAAATTTGCGTTAGGACAACAATTTTTCACATTCATCGGAAACACTAGTACCTCACACCGAACGATTTGTGATGTAGAGTGTGTGCACACTACCCTCTGAACCGGTAATATTTAGGCGTTTGGGCCAAATTATGCAAAGTTGATTAAATTATCCGGACAAAACGCACACAATTTGAAAATTAAAACGATTTAATTTTGAGTCAATTTTAGAGTCATTAAAACGCGTGTCAAATTGGTTTGACCTTTGGTGAAAAATGATGAAGATAAAAGTTGCTTAGAGTTTTATATGACGCTAATTGTTTTGCGAAATCCAGACACAAAATATTATGGCTGTTTTCCACCTCCCCCACATTTGAATATCAGTTTCGAAAAACTAATTTTACGTAGTCGAAATGTATTAAAGTTTTGCATGTATCTTACTTCGTAACTTCACGCATTCATCCATAATAACATGCAAAGACAATTGAAAAAATGGAAAATCCAGAAATGTGTGGGGAAGTGGAAAAGAGCCAATTATTATCCCAAAAATGGATCATTTTTGGCTTTTTAGTCATTCATACATTGAGCCAAATCTACCGACTCAGTTACGGATACATTTATGAAAAAGTAAGCCTCTTACGTAGCTCAACACACTTTAAGAAGAATATAGTCTCAAAAACATTGTTTAATATAATTTATTTTTGTTTGCTTAACGAAAAATGTCACTTTTTCAATATAAAACACTATTTTTGTAAGACTATTTAAGAGGGTAACTTTGATTAAAAAAGTGTCCGTAACTGAGTCGAAAAGTTTGGCGTAACTTTTGTGGACTAAAAAAGCCAAAAACGATCAACTTTTGGGTTACAAATTTGTGTACAAACTTGGCAAAACAAAAAATTCTGCTAAGAATCTAAACAAGTTTTGTCTTCTTCATTTTTAACCTCATGTCAAACCAATTTGAGAAAAACGATTTTTAAATTTTAATTTTTATGTGTTTTTACCGGACAATTTGAATCAGCACTGTATAGCACACGCAATGAGAAGAAGCTTTTCTAGAATAAAGTTTTCTAGTAACAAGTCTACACCTGTACATAAAAGCATAAAAACACCTTAATATCCCATCCCGATCACCTCAATAAGAAAAATTTTCTGAAAAACTATAATGAAATTTTTCATCACATAAACCAGACACAAAAAGCATAGTCGGGAAAATAGATTGAGTCTGGAAAAGTTGAAAACAAAGTCGCGCCGTTGATTTAGAAAGTCGCGCCATATCCTTATCCAGAACCAAACCGTATCCAGTCGCGCTGACAGTTTGAGTCTGGATAGTCTAGATATGAATCACGAAAGTCGCAACGTGGGCATCGAAGGTCAGGAAAAACAAAAACGTGATCCCATTAAGCATACCATAAACTCGCAAAAATTCGAAAAGTTGCAAGCATCTGAACACGAAATTGCAAGCGTCTAGAAAGCGTATGTCCAGACATTCGCGATTTTATGTCAAGACTTTCGCGATCACTTGTCGATACATTTGTGACGCTATATCAAGGCTTTTGCGTTAAGTCCAGACTTGCGTAGACAACCGCGCGACTTTCACAACCAACGTCGCGACTTTCGCGGCCCATGTGTCAAACTTTCAAGACTCAAATTTTCGCCGCGACTATGTATTTTGATCTGGTTTCGGATGCGGTGTAACTTTCATAGTCTGCACAAGAGTCTCGGACCTCGACCCAGGACGATAGATTAGACGCGATTTTAAAGAAGGGGGATGTTGTGATCTGATTTTATATTCACTTTTTTAATAATTAATATAACAGGTCTCCTCCGACTTTTGGTGCGAACCACTCCAATGGAGTGCTTAGTTGACAGTTCTAACCTAATGTTTCAACTTAAACTAATCTACTTATTTATTCTTATTCATTTTAAAATGTTTTAGTGTGAGCATTAGATTCACTTTTTCCACTTTTAATTTCCCCTTTTTCGGCAAAACCACATGATTGACCCTCTAGTTACAGAGTTGACTCGGTTGACATATTGCTTTTGGCAATCATAACCGCAAAAAATATCGATATCGATTTTCTGCTGAATCCGGTTAAATGAAATCCTTAAAATTTGTCAATCATTGGTAAAAACCCTGAAAGAAACGAATCGGACGACCTAGGAAACCCAAAACTGGAACGAAATTCCGCTGAACAGAGACGCCACGAAGACCATGAAGCAGTCTCAAAACAAATGGGGCGAAGAAACAGAACGGCATGCTTCCCGAAGAGGCAGACAAAAAAAACGAATCGATGCTCTACCTTCACTTCGAACCTGTACCTTTAGTGGAGTTTTGAGACATTTTAGGGATTCAGCAGATATATGTAACCAAAATTTATTTCCATTGGAAGCATTAAACGTAGCGTTAACATACGAGAAGGGCATCAGTAAGCCTTTCAAGATGACCAATAATTCCATATCATCCGGATATTCTGCACATAGTTATAGTGATAGACAATTTAATGTCAAGAGGGAAGGAATGCACATTGATGATAGAGAGAGAGAGAGAGAGCGGAATTTATGTTTAAAAAGCAGAGAAAATTTTTCAAAAGAGGAAATTAACCTAACCGCCAAGCAAAAAAATTCTTTGCGGAATCTTGAAAAACGAAGGTCACTTCACAAAAAAATTAAATCAAAACGTTGTAATGAAAAACTTCAAAAAAGTCAAAAAGTAAATAGCACAGAATAGGAGACTCCATCAAATCACACCGTTGTAAAAAAGTAGATAGAGTACATAGACAGTGATGTGGAGCAATCAACGCATGGTCAAAAATGACAAAAACAACTACTCTGCTCTAATTGTTACCAAGACGAAAAACCATAAAAAAAACTACTGCTGAAATCACTCATAGAATTTGAACTGAGAATTGAAACTCATAACCTAAAGCTGGGAGACCCACACTTATAAATCAATCGTTGTATGAAGTCATAAAGAAAACCGATACTGTTGTTTACGTGACACTGATATCAAGTTCATTAGAAAAATAAACAAGCCATTTTTTCCAAAGAAAACTATTACGAAGAACTTCCATTCATTTTGACAGAAGACCCCGAAAGAAACCTTCTTGGTTAGGACAAACTCCAAAACAATGGAATCAAAACACTTGAAAAAGTTACGAATCTTCAAGGGTCCGCAAGTCGGTAAACCTTCCGGCCTCTCAAAAACAAGGTAACTTTTTTGACTATTTCAAAATTGGTTGTCTCGGCTCGGAAAAAAAGAGTAATTTTTCTCGAATTTCTACGAACTTAAAAAGCCAATACAGCTAGAAACACTGTGAGACGAGAGTCCTCTTTCATTTATTAAGCTCAGTAAAAGACGAACTCTTAAGATAGAAACTTCGGATGAACAAAGCCTGCCAGAAAAGCAAAATATTTAAACTGGCTGTGGACTAGAAAGTTATAAGTAAGCGAACCTAAAAAAATAAACACCAAATTTCCAACCTTCACCATTTAGTAGATGAAGTTTTCCCTTGAGTAGATTGTTATTTAGACGATGTTTTAATTGCCTCCCAGGAAAAAGTTTCACAAAAACTTATCATTATGAATCAAAATCTATCGAATGTAAGTTTTTTCAGAAAACGATAAACTGGTTAGGATTTTAAAGTACTCACAAACTAATTAATCTCTTTTGCTAAACCTCTGGCAATGAAAAACCTTCAAATTTTAAACAAAATAAATAACTGCGCTCGTTTTTTGGCTCAACTAATCAATGTATGAATTTGTTCCGAAGCTAGCAAGCTTACGTAGACAACTCAAATCACTTTCTAACTTGAAATCAGTATTCCAACGAAAGAAATTAATTTGAAGACACTAATCAGAAGTAGTAAATCTAATCAAACTAAAGAAAATCAGACGTATCACACAACTGATTGTGAGCCTCAATCGAACAAATCCATGAAATCCATAGGGGAGCGGTGGTGAAGTGGTTACGTCTCCGCCTCTCTATCGAAAGGTCGGATGTTCGAGGCCCACCATGATCCGTGCTCGTTGCTTGAGGGTGAAACAACATTACCCAGCCCAGGAAAATAACCAAAAAAAAAATTGCATGTAGTCATTAAACAGGGGCACAACAGCGTTTCGCCGTGATGAGCTGTACAGCTCTTGTGTTGGTCCTTTCCCCCGTGGATAAATGGTCTTAAAAAAAAAGAAAACGATCGGAAAACGGTTTCTTTCGCCACACGATTTGTAAATCCAAATGAAGATAAGTACTCAAGAATTAAACTAAAACTACTTGGACAGTAGAGCAGAACAAAAACTACTTTTACAGGCCAGAATTCGAAATGATTACCAATCATTAAACCTTTCTGACAGCACTTTTCACAAACCATTGAAATAAAGTTGATTTTTTCAGAGCTATCCACTGCGTCCTCAGACTTATTTTTGTTTCTCAAAAAACAACTAGAGGGTCAAGAGGTGGGTTTTACAAATGTAAAAACAATAGGGGCAATACTTCAGTCAAAAAACGGTCCCGTGTTCAAATTACGTCCAAGAATTTCCCGTAGCAACTGTTTTAAAAGTCAGTCTTACATCCGTCGGAACGAAAAAAAAAACATAGGCTGAAACACAAAAGAGCAAATTCCAAGAGCGCTAATTTTCAAGTCATCGCTTCGGTTCTAAATTACATAAACTCGGGAAAACTGGTACTCAAATCAGATTCCGTTGAGTTTTTAATTCTAAGCCTACTTTTATTTTTTAATTTTTAATTTTTTTTCCTGACTCTAATCCCAATATTAATTGCATCAAATGGATCAATATGCTGCATAGCAAAACTGTAATTAGCTCATCAAAATTCAGTAGAAAAAAAAACTTTCCAATTGAATGAAAAAAAATCCAAATAAAATCTATCTCTAGCTAAAAAA